AATTTTGCCGTCATACGGTATACTCCGCTATCTTATTTACACGGTATGCCACCGTTTTCGTTAGTTTGTCGTGCCTGACGGGTTCCATTCAATCCCTCATTAACTATTCTTCATATTATTTGCTGATACATGCGCATTATTCAAAGCGGAAGGTTGAAAACTGGACTGGATCACTTTGCACATTGACGCCAACCGTATATCCTTTCCTCCCCCTCGCCGGAACTCTGTATCATCGCCTGGCTTTGAAACGTGCCTTTTCGCCACCCTGTCACTACACTCGACTTTCAGTTTGATTTAGGCTTGACAATAACTCGTTCTCCGAAAGTTCTAACTTTTGTCCTTTCCGGACGGTGGAGGAGGGGGTGGGTGGGGGTGGGGACGCACATCGATTCACGTGTTCACACGCTGTTATCGATCTGTGGTGAAACATGTTCCACGGAGATATTTTCTCTCTCTCTCTCTCTCTCTCTCTGTGACTCCGAATACTTTGGCGAGAAGTTCGCAAACGTGTGCATCTAATTGATGCCATTAACTATCGTTTTGTTTCAGTCTTGTATGCTAATTCCACCCCTGTGTGTGTATGTATGTACCTAACTCATCGTGACTAGAAGTTTTGGTGACTTTTAATCAGGTGCTTCACTGGTGAAATGAAACGACATGATTGGATTTTGATCCCATGAATTAAACCGGGTCGGAAGTGACAGAAATAGCCATGTTAATGGAAACTACAAACCTTTCTTCTCCCTCCTCTTTCGTTTGATCTTCAACCAACTTAGCAAGCAGTAGGACATATGAACAAGTGGGTAGGTAAGGCAGCGGTCAATACGAATTTGCGCACACAGTCTACAGTTCAAATAAATGACATGGAAACCTCCCAGATTACATTGAGTCGATAAACTTAGAAAGAGATAAGTATGTATGAAAATGGAAAGATTACCCATTTGTTTGTTTATCCCATCTGTTTGTGATGTGAGCTTCAGAACGACAGAGAGGCATCCTTTGATGTTCTGATTTGTTTCATGTACTGCGTAGTCACCAGGATCCCCGCAATCGAAGCCCGTGGATCTGAAATGGTAAACCAAATCAAACGTGGCATGGAGCCGAGCTGAAGCAGACTTGGTTAATAGTAACGGGGATTTTAGCCTCGGTATAACACGTACCAATTGCGGTGGTTTATCAGCTAGATATAGAAACAACAACTGGTTACAAAACTCTTGGCTCCACATAGTTGTTGCATGCAGCCTGGAAGGGGATAATAATTGCCCTGAAGATATTTACATGTGAGAGAAAATCTGTTTTATGGTTTCATAAAATTCAGAACTTAGTACTAAGGAAGCGATATGTCCTATAATCAATTTAGTTCATGTGTTTTCCACTCTGCCAAATACACAAATTTTGGACATGGTGTTCCTTTAAACTGGTTTCCTATCACGTCAAAAGTCGTCTGTGAGCGCCTTCACATCACACTAGCTTGGTGAGCGTTGTGCAAACACAAAGGCACTGGTAGTCCAACTCATTATGTCACCTGTGGCCATGCTATGTATACGTTTTACACCTTCAAAGTGTAAAATGCTACTACAAGACTGGGTTGATCCAGCACCCAGGTTCACTCTAACTGGGTAAAGAATAGAGCAAATGGATAAGTTTTGTTATCTGGGCAGCTACATCACACTCGGCGGACGCATCATGGATGAAGTGTCAGC